CTTTGATTTAAAAAAGATCCAGTTTCTATTAGAGATCAATATTCTGTTAGAATCTTGTTATTCTTAAATTTCAAACATCTAAACAAGTTGTAATAAAGGTGAATAACTGCTAATTTTGTACGGCACTGATGCTATGGAATAAAAACAGACCCACAGGATGATGCTGCCAACACTATGCATAATAGATGAGAGAGTAAGTTTGCATCATTAGGAAGGAATTTGTTTTGCATTTATCAGATTCTACAAAGTTGAATCAAACTTTTAGAAACTGATTTTTTGGTCTTTATCCTCTTAGCATCAAGTGCTAAAAAATGAAACACATTCTGGTGTTTGGACAAAAAAATCACCTTAAAATAAAACCTCCTCTATCATTCAGTTCTGTGAAAACATCCACTTAAAAAACATTTTTAAAGAAGAAACCTGTTCAGTGATCAAAACATAAAACGTATAAAATATGACTGATATAAAGAATCATATTCACTCAATCAGATCTATATTCTAAAGACGGAATAAAGGAACCTTTATGGAGATATTTATGAATTAAATAGATGTTTTCTTTCTTTTTTTGTTGGTCTGATTTAATATTCCAATCCTGTAAAAAAATGATTTTTAGTCCAAATTTAAGAAGTTTCCCAATTAGGATGAAATAAGCCCCAATAAATTCAAACTGTGCAGCCAAATCTTGGTTTTAAAATTCATTAATTTCCTTTTATCAATCTATTTGGTTTCAAATTAAAAGTCCAGAGTTAATTTTTAATAGATTCAGTTGATGCACATAAAGCTCTGAGCAGCACTGCAGGTAAACGTGATTCAGAAAAGATGTTGAGAAGATTTAAAGAAATAGAATCAGTTTAAATCATGTTCTAAAAACCAGCATGTGGAATATTGAGAGAGAAACAGGCTATTTTATGCCTAATAATCCCTTGTGCTTCGGTTTTATGATTGTATAAACTCCAAATCGTACATTTTTAAAAGTTCCTCAGCAAACATCCCAGCAGGATGGAGCAGATGGCAGACGATCGCCACAAAAAAACAAAACAACACACAGACAGAGAGAGGAAGAGGAGAAAACATGGCGTCCTGACAACTACACTTTAACCACTGCACTTCACTGTCACACACTTACGCACAAGTACACAACCGAAAGCACGAGGTGAGTGAAAGCCAAAACAATCACAGCTGAGTGAAAACAAAAGAACAAAGAGATGTTCGAGAGGAAAGGATCTAAAGAGGGAGAAGCAGGAGGTTTGATAACCAAACCAGGCAGTAAAATAATGAACATTACAGCAGAAACAATCAGGAACTGGACAGAAGTTCACATTAAAGGCTTTCTGACTTTTAATCAGTCATTGGAAACAGGATGATCATAAAACTGTAGCGATGCTTAAAACATAAACTAGACCCTGCAGTTTTCCAAAAAAGTTAAAATCAATCCTCTGGACTTTGTTTCCCAGTTTGAAGGCGTTTCTCTTCCATCCAGGAAGATTTTTCTATTCAAAATGTCAGAAATAGCGTTTAGTTCCAGGTTTTATCCAGCAGCCCAACAAAGCCTGGTTTTAGTTTAAAAAACATGCAAATAGAAACGGATGAACGGGTCCCCCCCTTTGGGATGGGGGTGATTTGGCTTCTTTGTTAGCCTGCAATGCCCCATACCTGTCTATGTCTCTGAAAGGGGGGGCGTTAGAGGGAATAGTTGGCCTGGATGAACAGGTGAGGTCTTCTGTTCTCCTGTAACGACGCCAAACGACCCCCATTCCAAAGAGGGGGACCCGTTCATCCGTTTCTATTTGCATGTTTTCTAAACTAAAACCAGGCTTTGTTGGGCTGCTGGATAAAACCTGGAACTAAACGCTATTTCTGACATTTTGAATAGAAAAATCTTCCTGGATGGAAGAGAAACGTCTTCAAACTTGGAAACAAAGGTAGTTTTTTTTTTACCTTTTTGGAACGACTGACCTGGATGACTGAGAATCTGCAGTATACATATTTTTGCAAATTATCTGTGGTTTGAATTATAATTAAATGCTGATTAACAGATCAGCTATTGAACATTTACATAAAAGTTTTGTGGCAGGTTGAACTTCAGTCACATGTTTTCTGAGGCCATAAACAAACTTCCAGCTGTGATTTCTGACCGACGCTCCGATCAGAACAGCTAAAACACATCAACATTTCTCAGACCTCCAACAGATCCAGCAGGGCCGTCCTAAAGTTTTAGTTCAGTCCTAAAAAGAGCGTTTAGAGGCATCAGGCTGAGATCTTTCAGATGGAACCCAGACCTGCCAGGCAAGGTGGTGGCAGCGTCATGCAGAGGGAATGTTTGGCTGCCAGTGTGTGTTTCAGCATCTCCAGTAGATATAAACCTAAGCGCAGTATCATCTCTAAACCGTTGGAAAGGTTTAAATTAAATCCAGGCCTGTAATTTTACGTAAACTTCTGTCCAGAACTAAACAGATAAAATAAAATAATAATAAAGCCCAGTTTAATGAGTTAACGGGTCTATTTTGATTATTAGCGGTTATCAGTCCCATAGAATGGCTCCAGGCTGCGACTCCTCTACCTTCTAGAAGGTTTCTAATGTCTGATAATATGCAGCTTATGGTTGATAACATCTGAAACTATGAGTTTTACTTTCTATAGGTGTGTAGGCGGCGCAGTGGTTAGCGTGCATGACGCACGTACGGAGGCCTCAGTCCTCGCCGCGGCCGACCCGGGTTTAAATCCAACCTGTGCTCCTTTCCTGCATGTCTCCCCCCCCTCCTACCCCCATTCCTGTCGGCCTACTGTCGAAAAAAAAAGTTTTACTTTCTATTTACCTGCTTTATACTTTTTATCTGCTTTATTGACACATAGCTTCTTTTAAAAACAGTTTTAAATCTTTCCTTCCAGTGAATTCCACACATTTCAGACACACAGATTTAAGGTGATGTTTAAAACCACTCAGTTGACAGAATATATTGTTCGATATGAGCGACATATCAACTATTCTTTACAATAGATGAAAAACTTCTATAATTATGTTCAGATTACAGATAAATATATCAATTAATTCTGCAGGTAAAAGAGGAATTGCTTTAGGATAAAAACCTACTGAGCCAATCTAGAGCCATTTTCTGGGACTGAGAGCCGCTAATAACGTCCATTTATTGGGTTGATAACATTTGAAGTGTCTGTTTGCCCTTTTCTCTTCCCTCATACTTCCTCATAATTATGGCTTTCAGTTTCAGTAAGACATAGAAAAAGGCTGAGGTCAGTCTGCGAGTGATTCAAGCAGCAGCGCCTCGGTTTAAGAGCTGCCATATTGCAGCAACCTCCTGAAAGAATCATCAGCACATAAAAACACAACAGTCTGCACACCTCAGTCAGGCTGCTTCTGGGATCTTTATGTCATTTGCTGGAAGCAACTCGTCTATCAGCCGGTAGATCCTCCATTTGGTCCTATGCTTAAACACACAGTCTGGGAGCAATGGCACCTCCAAAGAAAAGCAATCTAAAGATCAACTAGTTCCTCTTGGTTAAAAGTTATAAAAACAAAAGAAATCTGTCTGATGTTCCTTCATTTGACCCAAATCTTCACATAAAATCACCACAATAAGAACTGAAGGGGGCGATGGAGGTAGGTGTGCAAATAAGCCGTCATTTACAACAAAAAAACAATCAACTCTAAAACAAGGTTCATTTCATTTGCATATTTACAATACAGATAAAGCAGACAATACATTACAAAAGAAAACACAAATAGATACGCTATACTGCTTCTAGGAGGGAATATCTATAAATAAAGCTCACCCCCACAAATGATATCACAATGAAAAAGATGCATCAGATGTGCAGCAACCGAACGTCTGTCTGAGCGACGGGAGCGAGGAGGGAATGTAAGGTCAGCGCTCGGCAGAGTCACCTTCATCAATGGCAGCGAGCCGCAGAGACGCATAAACAAGATACGACAGCGCGGCGGCTTAAAGCAAACTAAACCTCTAAAGCAAAGAAGCGGATATGTTTGGTCCGAATCAAACGGCAACGAGACACTTTTCCTTCAGCTCTTTGGATTCTGCCACTGAACGCAAGTTTGGACGCAACCGGGAGCAAACGCCAGAAAATTATTCACACGTCCGTTTCTAAGGAGAGAGGAAGGATTTCCATAATGGCCGACGGCCCCTGAAGGCGTCACAAAGTGCTCTCTGATCATTAAAATTAAAAACGAATGTGATTGAAGCTGCAAAGCAATCCTCACAATGATCGACTTTCCTGCAACAGTTCTCATCGTTCAAAAGCTGTGAGAACAAAAAACAAATGTTGTTCTGAGGCCAAACTGTGGAGCCATTGTGCTTCTGCTTCATATCAGATGAAACTAGATCTCTTTAAAAAGCAAAACAAGCAAAGCTTCAGGTGAACGGGGAGGAAGCGGATTCGCTGGAATCACTTCCACACGCCGCCCTGCAATGAAATCAGCTGTTTCACATTCTCTCCTTACATAAAGGTCTATTAGCCTTTATTTTCCTAAGTATTCCATTAAACCTCCGGATTAGATAAATCCAGGTTTTACCTCGGTTTTAAAAAGTCAGAGCTTAAAACTGACTAAAGTTTTTTGTCATGCTGTGGGTCAACAGGCTGAAAGAAAACCTCTAAAACTTTCTGTTGCTCCTTTTAACTCTTTGGTGAGCCTGTGAAGCAGACTAGTGACCCAATCTAAGTAATCAACCAGCTGATACTTTATCTACTTTATCTTGTTTGGCTCGAAGCAACAGAATCACAAATATTTCATGTTTTTCACAGTAAGAAGCTAAAATTGTTTGATTATGTATAAGTCTATACATTCGAATTAATTAAGTCTATTACTTAAAATTGAAAACAGTAAAATCTTTGATTTCCTAAATCATTTGGTATTATTTTAGCAGGATTTACAAGTTTTAAATAAATAAAAATGTGTTTTTTTTTAAGTCTAACCCAGATATTTTCCAGCAGGCTGTGACACCATGAGGACCTGATTCTGGTCCTAAACATGCAGACTGGATCTTATTGTTCTATTTAGTGGGAAACTGGGATCCCAGTGATGTTCTGATGTTCACAGGTTAACCAATCATTACTGAAGGACTGCAACAGCTAAGGGCGGGACGTCTAATCTGCTAAATCTGACAATCATATTAAAAAGTGAATCAAATCTTCTAACTACAGACCTCTGATCTCCGACGTGGCGCCGTGGCGGCGCCGCCGACTGGAACTGTGCGCGCTGCCTCAGGCATCTTGGCAAAATAAAAGCTCCCTTCTGAACTTTTTAAACATTCAACCCAACAAAAAATAAAAAATGGTGTCTAAGAATCAGATGGAGATGATGGAGCTGAAGTGATGCATCGTGGGAGGAAAGGCAGAACAGATGTTCCCACTTAGTTGTCTTTTTTAGGCAGGAAGCTGAGGATATATTCGCCCACGCCCAGGAAGTACACGACCTGGGCGATCCCAAAGAGAGGAGCGATGACCAGAGCGCGGCAGTAGGCTCCCTTCAGGAACGCAGACGGACCCTCGTTACGCAGGATCTTCCTGAAAAGCACAGAAATCCACCAGAACACAGACGCAGTGTGAATAACCAGCCTGCAGAGATCAGGAGAAAGACTTCAGACATCGCCAGGTCACCTGATGCAGTCCGTCACTCCGGAGTACGTGTCTTCTGTGCTCGCTCGGTTCAGCGACTGCAGTCTGGTCTTTATTACTGCACATAAAAAAGCTCAGGTTAGCGTTTATTTAGGGTGTTTTTCTGAAGGAGAATCTAAAACGCTGCGGCTCACCATCGACGGGGTTGACAGCGACGGCTGCTGTGCTCCCGGCGACGCAGCCCGACACGAACGACACGTAGAAAGGAGCGGGGCCTTCGCCGTCTCTCTTCCCCAGGTTATTCAGATTGGCAAAGAGAGGGAAATAGATGATGGAGAAAGGGACGTCCCTGATCACCAGGAAACAAAACAGTCAGACCTCAGCAGAGGACACCAATCACTGCGTTAGAACATTTAACTGCTGTACCTGAGCAGCGTGGCCCCCAGGCCCTTATAGAGTCCAGCGATGCCCTTTTCCCTCAGTAACTGTCTGGTGATCTGCATGGCTGTGGGAGACTTTATCTCCACGCTTCCTGCCGCCACCGTTTCCGGCATGAGCTTCCTCTGAGCGGCTAAAGTCCATCAGGAGAAATAATGCTGATTACAGCAAAAACAAAAACTCTGACCTCATTATTATCTAATGCAAGCAGAAGCTGTAATCTTCACCACATGAGGGCGCTCATTGCCCATCAGACTTCAGACTCTTACCCAGCCTGCCAGCATCCTGCAACTGGATTTTCAGCATCTCCATAGGAGTCGTTATGACGACCTGTAGAGGAAGCAGGAAATAAATTATGTCAAACAACATCCACAGCTTTTTATGACTGGTTTGCTAGTTTAACTTTTCAACATTTTGCCACGTTGGAATCAAACTGATCAAGTTATTGAGGTTTTAGTACGGAGGAGCTCATTGTTATGAAGGAAAAGGAGATATGGAGTTAATCTCTGGCAGGTCTGGACTTTAATCTGAGACTGGAGTTTGGGTTAGTTGGTCTAAACAGACCTGTTCTAGATTTAACTGCATCTTTAAAGGAAAAGTCGCTCATATTCAGAATCCAAACTTCTGAAAGTTCTTTAAATGTGAAATGATTCCATCCTGTTCAATAAATGATCAGTGTTTTTAATTCAGAGTCATTTTCATGTGAATGTGCTTTACTGGAGGCATCCATGTTTGTCAAAGAACACTACTGCCACCTACTGGTTAGTGACATTGTCACGGTGCGGTATCGGCTGTTGATCAAGTCCCAGTGCTGTATCTGGTGTTTGTCACAACGCGCTATTATCCAAGTCATCTTGAAAACATTCTTCTTCCAAATGTTGGCTACATATTACGGGTTTTTTCTCTGGCCAGAAGTTCGATGGCAAATCCTCCCTCTTCAAGTTGGCGATCCAACGACCAACCCGTCCGTGGAGGATCAGGAATCAGAAAGGTGGAATAACTCTTTTTTTCACTTTTACCCGATGTATTCCAGCATCCAGCTGCCATGCACGTGGGCATTGTCAGTTTCACTATAGCTCTGGTGAATTTCAATGGTGAAGTCCTCTGGAAATCTTCAATAATTGTTGTTGATTGCAGATGTGTCTAGTAGTTCCCATTGATTTAGCTTGTAAAGCTGGGAGAATCGCGCTAGGCTTACCGCACCGTGACGTCACTGCTGGAAGATGGCAGGAGGGAGGGGCTACTATATTTGGGCAAAGATGGCCGCTCCCAGACGGCGAACGTATTATTTTTGGGTATAAATAATGATCCATTGATTATTCCTGCTGACTGAACTTTTCCTTGAACGGCTGCCAGAAAACATTAATGATAACACATCCTATCTGCTGGGATTTCCTTCCTTGGATAATTGTTCTAATTCAGTCACTTTAAAGGTTTAGGCAGGATGATGGTCTAACGGAAGGCTTGATTTCAGTGTAGACTTTGACTAGGCCACTCTAAACCCTTTCCCGTCCTTCATGCAGATCTTTAAATGATGGAGTTGTTGATCCACGGTGGTGATTCTCTCCTGAAATGGTTCCTTTCTGTTTCAGCTGTTTGTGACTCTGAATCTGGAGTCCTGGAGCCTCAGACGGGGCTTTTCAATCTGATCAATTTCTTTAGACGGACTTTTCCTTTAACGCCACTGTATTTATAAGGGGGGGGGTATATGTGTTCAGGTTTGTTTTCCTTTTTCTCCTGCAGGGTTTAGCCCACGTGTCAGAAAATGATATTCTGGTCTCATCTGACAGCAATAACAGTTTCTCCACCAGCGGTGCTCCCTGCACCGCTGGTGGAGAAACTACAAACCTCTCCATCATTTTAAGGCAGATGTTCTGATCTAATCTGATCTGTGGACATTTAGTCTCTCAGAGTAACTCTGAGCATCTTTGCTGTATTTCTCTCCCTGCCTGCTAGTTCTTTTTGGAAGGTTTTTAGTTGGTTTGATTTTCTAAACGATAGATTAAACGATTAAAAATGTTTCTATCTTGAACATGATTTTCAGATATGAACTTATTTTAAACTTTTTTAAACTTCACCCCATCTAGAAAAACCTTTAAAACTGTCAGAAAAGCAGCTGTATTTAGATAAATAAGGTAAAATATTAAAACAACAGAGTAAACTTGATTTTATGAAGGAGTATCACTTTATCATTTCATTTTATATGTAAAGCATTTTATTTAAAATACAACTTTACTAGATAAGAACCTAGATTATAACATGAAGGGGTTTAAATGCCCCATTTCTTCTAGGGATGCAGCTAATTATTATTTTGCTAATTGATTAACGTCTCCTTTCATTAATAATCAGATTGCCAAAGGTTCCGCTGAAAATAATGGTTAGCTGCAAAAAGATTTTTTACGAAATTAAAGCAGGTGAAACTAAAACTTTTCCACCTGAGGAGTTCTGGATTATAGAGCACATTAACAGACGGGAAAATTTTTTTATCCTAAATGCAAAATGTTTATATGTTTTTTAACAATCCCTGAATAATTGCTGCTCTTAGCGGGTCGCTCTGTCAGCTACAGGCAGGTTTTACAGTCTCTATACTCCAGTTAATGATTGATCACTAATTTAGTTGAGGATTATTTCAATAATTAATTAATCTGATTAATAGTTTCATCATTTCTATGAACCTAAATTCTAGACCATCCTGAGTGAGACTGGAGGAGCGCGTCTCAGGTGTGGATCTACTGGCATTCATGGCTTAATGGCGCCTTCCCTGCAGCTACACTATAGAAACTAGTTAACTAGATTAAGGCTGAGATGACCATGTTCTCAGCTGCAATCCTAATCCTAGATCTGCTGCACTTCATCTAATCACAGCTCCTAAGGCTTCCAGTCTTTGCCCTCATTAATGAGAAGCGTTTCCCTCGGACTCGCTCGCTCGCCACACATGGCCGGCGCTCGTCCATCGCCTCCTATCTGATCACATATATCTACGCAGCTGGCCGTGTATGGGGAGATATTTGTGCCATCGGTTTGAGCGCGCAGGAACCAATCCGAGCGCGCAGTGAGACAACACGCGCGCGCGCAAAACCGGTCTGGCGCGCGCTCAACTCTGAAAAACCCTCTCAACACACTGTTCTCGCGCTCAGTTTCATCTCTGCGCGTGCTCGAATCCGTCTCTGCTCGCGCTCGCTCGACCTGCTCTCTCTCCGCGCTCAACACCAGCTGTGCGCTCGGCTGTTTCTCCGCTCGCTCGACTCTCTGCGCTCGCAACTTCAGCAATGTATGTAAATGAACCATACCATCAGCCAATCACACCCAGCTTCTTTTCATCCAATGAAAGCATTCCTTCCTTCTTCTTCTTTTCTATCATGGCGGTTCGCAAGCAACTTCAAGGTGCATACCGCCACCTACTGTTCATGAGTGTGTAGCAACATTGTTTTACATCTATTAAATTCTATTTTTTAATTTTGCATTCTGAAGATAACTAAATAATGCTTTCCTTAATCTATAAACATCCTTTATATTTCCTTTATTTCCCAATAATCCTTTAAGACTCCATTCTTGGCCTGTCATTTCAACTACTCTTCTCAATTTTTCCCTTTCAGGTTCATATGTTTTACAGTTCATTAATATGTAAGCATTTGTTCCAAATACTACATCCGGTTAGATGAAAAAAAATACATAAATAAATAAAAACACAATCAGGAAAATCAAACAACTCTTACAGTTATTTTGTCAACATTCCTAAGATAGTACTATAAAATATCTTGAATTATCTCAAATAAACTTCAGTAAAACAGTTATTAGATCATTGCCTCATCCATCTCTTTTACCTGCTATTGACATGGATTTAAATTTGCTGTTTTAAAAGAAAAATAAGGAGGATATTTCAGGTTCAAGTATGGTTCAACAATATATAGATAATGTTTTGGATCATATTGGCCTTACTCTTAGCTTTTGTGGCGGGTGTTTCTTCTTTTTGTTGTTTTTTATGGAGGTTGGCAAACAACAATTACCGCCACCAACTGAAAAATCCTGTTTATCAAATTATTCTTTTTAATATATATAATAAAGAATAACCCTCTTATTTAGAGTCCATCTGTAAAAGGTCTTCTAAATAATAATTGTTAAATTTCAGATCAGGTCTGCTGTCTGAATAATTGCGTTTAAATTAATATAACAGTCGCTGATCTAAAATCAGAGCAAACTAAACTTCTTAATGGAACGATTTCTTCAATCCATTGTAAGGCCAATATGATCCAAAACATTTCTCCTTTGTAGGCTGAATTCCATCACTGATTCTTTTACCCGATTTAAAAATAAATTATGAAACTAAAACAAAACACCATTCCTAATATTGGAATATTTTGAAGCATCCATAAAAAATTTAACATATCCATAATATTTTTTATCTATATATTGTTGAACCATACTGGAACCTGAAATATCCTCCTTATTTTTCTTTTAAAACATCAAATTTAAATCCATGTCAATAGCAGGTAAAAGAGATGGATGAGGCAATGATCTAATAACTGTTTTACTGAAGTTTATTTGAGATAATTCAAGATATTTTATAGTACTATCTTAGGAATGTTGACAAAATAACTGTAAGAGTTGTTTGATTTTCCTGATTGTGTTTTTATTTATTTATGTATTTATTTTCATCTAACCGGATGTAGTATTTGGAACGAATGCTTACATATTAATGAACTGTAAAACATATGAACCTGAAAGGGAAAAATTGAGAAGAGTAGTTGAAATGACAGGCCAAGAATGGAGTCTTAAAGGATTATTGGGAAATAAAGGAAATATAAAGGATGTTTATAGATTAAGGAAAGCATTATTTAGTTATCTTCAGAATGCAAAATTAAAAAATAGAATTTAATAGCTGTAAAACAATGTTGCTACACACTCATGAACAGTAGGTGGCGGTATGCACCTTAAAGTTGCTTGCGATCCGCCATGATAGAAAAGAAGAAGAAGGAAGGAATGCTTTCATTGGATGAAAAGAAGCTGGGTGTGATTGGCTGATGGTATGGTTCATTTACATACATTGCTGAAGTTGCGAGCGCAGAGAGTCGAGCGAGCGGAGAAACAGCCGAGCGCACAGCTGGTGTTGAGCGCGGAGAGAGAGCAGGTCGAGCGAGCGCGAGCAGAGACGGATTCGAGCACGCGCAGAGATGAAACTGAGCGCGAGAACAGTGTGTTGAGAGGGTTTTTCAGAGTTGAGCGCGCGCCAGACCGGTTTTGCGCGCGCGCGTGTTGTCTCACTGCGCGCTCGGATTGGTTCCTGCGCGCTCAAACCGATGGCACAAATATCTCTCCATAGCCGTGTGTCTCCTCCAGCTCAGCCCCGCAGTGACTGGAGATCGCTCACTAGAACATTTCTGCTCACTATCAGATCAGATCACAGCCTCTACAGACTGAACCCGTTTCTCTGACCACTGTGGCCCAAGTTAACAAGACTGAGGCTGATTACACCTGCAGACAGACGAGGCAGCTGTCCAGGTGAGCTGTCCAGGTGAGCAGCAGTGAGCTGGAGCATCGGCGTCGCCAGACCCCATTTACTGGGGCACGTGCCCCAGTATAAATCTCATGAATATTTACAACAGTAATATTTTTTTTTAATGCATCAATTTAGATGATTCCAACGGGAGGAGACGTATATTTCTACTCAAATGCGCAGCAAGTGTGTTGGTAACTCCAAATTGAGGATGAATTAGCGCCCCCACGTCAGCGCATGTCACTGCATGAACTGCAGGTAAATTAACGCGCTGCTCTCAACTGAGTTGGATGGGACACTGCGGCCACGACGCTTTTTTAGTTCTGGTAACGTTTCTTAGCTGTCAATTTTATTATTTTCCCAGTGAAACCACATGATTTATTTATAGGCTACTAACTGGAAATGACTGCATTGGTTTGTAGATGGATATCAGGAAATTCCTCACACGAAGCAGAGACAGGGAAGCAGTAAAACAAGATGAGAGAGGGAGGTAAGAGCCCGAGATGAATTAGTGATTTAAGCTAAGCAGTTACATTAGGGACGTTATAAGCAATATGATAGATATTTACATAATTATAGATTTACGTTTTTTAATGTTTACTGTAGAGAATGAGAATGAAGGTGCTGGATGGTCCTACACAAGTGAAGTTGTCCCACCATCCCCAGGACAAATTTGGAGTAAAACAAACGTTCATTTAATTCAAAATGGTTTGAAAGCTTTTCCTGGTTAAAAAAGAAAGCCTTGTCATCAAGGATATGCAGTGTGTTTTCAACTTGCTCGATAACACCATGTTCCCCACACTAACGCAGATCATCCAGATCTCCTCACCATCCCAGTCTACAGCTGGAGGTGTGAAAGGTCATTCAGTGTGTTGAGAAGGATCCACACTTGGCTGAGGTGCACAATGGGACAAGACAGGCTCCATCATCTTGCTATTTTATCAGTTGAAAAGGAAGAACTTTCTAAGCTGAGTCACAGTCTAGTGATTGACCAATTTGCAAAAATGAAAAATAGGAGGTACACTTTAATGCTCAAAAAATAAAAGAAAAACTTAGTTCAGGATGAGTTAAACTTTCCCCTGAACTAAAACTCTAAAACCTAGGAATTAATGATTACGTCAGAATGTGTATAAGGAAACTTTTTATTTGTCAAAGTTGTTGATGTCTTATTTTTTATAGCTGCAATGTTGAAAATGTTCATGTTTGTTAAAACAAATATTCTCTTATACTCATTAATATCTCAACTGGTAATTTTGGTAGGAATGTATCAGGGTGGGGCAGTGTGCTTGTCTGTATTTATGTATGGAAGGAGGGGCATATGCACTAGGGGGCCAGTGCCCCAGTAAAGCTTTGTGCCTAGCAACGCCCCTGAGCTGAAGTCAGTAGTAGGTAGGGTGCGTTTGAAGCCACTTACCTGGCAGGTACCGGCGCCGCAGCCAGCCAGCATCTCTTTGACCAGAGTCAGTTTTCTGAAGGAGGAGAGAAAAAGATCAAGATCCAGAACATTAGTTATTTATTACCATCTATGAAGAATAAAATAAAATTAAATAAAATGTGCACAGCAGCGATGCTAATCTTTGTCTTCTCCATCAACGCGTCGGGAACAGATTAATAATTCACAAGGAGGAGAGCCAGTGGGACAGCATGGGTCAATCATTTATCAGCCTGCATGTTTGTTTCCATGGTGACTGAGGTAGATGTCCTGGCGGGTGGGGTGGGGTGGGGGGGTTATCGGTGCATGCAGCTTTCTGGGGTGAACAACGGCTCCTTGCTTTCAGTTAAACCAGATGATTGCTGCTAATGATTGCGACCTGAAAGCATCAAACGTTACCCGGTAACCAGACCTCAGATAACACTGCTGCTGCATCACCATCAGTGGTGATACTATAGTGCCCTGCATACTTCATCTAAGGCTCCTGTTCCACCTCGCTGATTTATCCAGCGTTTGCCTGACGTCCCAGAATCTCCTAAATCTCAGGCAGATGCTGAATTTCTATGGATTCTTTCTATTCTGGGCGTTTATAGAGGATTCATAACGAGTCCAGAACTTCTGTCCAACCAGAGCCTAACTTCTGCATAACGTGATGCCCAGGAAATGATGCACAGTGTCCTGAGGGGGGCAGCGATGCGCCTGGAGGCGCCCGGCCTGCAGAAAGAGATTTATTTGATGGCGGTATTAACCTAGCTGCTGTTTACTGCCCGCCAAAAAAAAAAAATTTAAATAAATATTATATAAATAATAAATAAAAAGAAAAATAAAGAAAGAAGGTTTTTTTATACCAAAACGCTGCCAATACGCCATTATACAGTAGCTGGAAGTTAGAAACACGTTCAGCGCTCGTCTGGAACACGGCAGATACGCTGATATGTTGGAGAGAAGTTCTGGATAAGTTACGCAGAAGTTAGTCAGAGGTTTAGGATCAGCTAGACGCCACGACTGATGAGGAACTGATGCTGAACGGATGTCAGCCATCAGGTAACTGACCTGGAACTGATGGACCATGGATGGCAGACGCTGGTATACGGAGGGAGATTTTGAGGATGCTCAGAATTTCTTGACGTACTCGCCGTATGTCAGCGTCCTTCAGCGCGCTCATAACTTATATAAAACGCACCCATAACTTATCCAACGTATGCCAGAGTTTTTGAAAGATTTGAAAGATCTTACTTCAGGCATATGCTGGTCTAAATCACCAAGGTGTGACAGGAGCTTTACTTTAGATTTCTGTTACTTGGATCACATGAGACAGAACAAACAAAGTCCTGCAGAATAATCAGCTGGAATTAATCAAAAATAAAAATATAATGCAAAAGTAAAAGCCACTGATTTTTTTTTGTTGAGTTTTTACGGCACTAGTGGCGCGTTTTTTCGACAGCAGGCTGACAGGAAAGGGAGGATGAGAGAGGGGGAGACATGCAGCAAATAAAAACAGGCCGGATTTCTAACCGGGTCCACTAAGGCCTCCGTACACGGGTTGGATGCGCTAACCGCTGCACCACCTGCACGCCCAGCCACGGATTTTTAAGAGTTAAACTAATATATTGTACAGATTTATTTCCTATATAAAAAAATATTTCAAGCTGTTATTTCCAGTGATGATCCTGGCTCCAGCCTAGTATCCCAGAGGAGGAGAGGACAGTGAGCTAAGTCATGGTGTGACGCGCTAATGAGCGACTGAGCTGCAGACGTTAGCAAATGTTCACTGAACCTCAGCAGTGAGGATTGATGGAGCCGTTTCTTCTGCTGACGTTTTCCCACTGGGGTTCCGAACATTTCATGCAGCTTTATGGAGACGTAAAGTCATTTTCCACTGCCGCTAAAGGCACCAAGACATGTTTAAACCACCTCAGAGGCAATGAGCTGGATTGGCCAACTACCTGATCAGAACCACATTCGCTATTAGCTGCGCGGTAGAACAGTGGGTAGCACTGCCGCCTTGCAGCAAGAAGGTTGCAGAATCCCGGCCTGGGCTCTTTCTGCAGAGAGTTTGCATGTTCTCCCTGTGGATTGATGAACGGCTGGATGGATACATGATGGATGGATGGATGGATGGATGAGAATTAAAAAAAAAACTTTCATGTTTGAACCGATGCAGGCTGGTCTGTGTTCTACTCACCCAATTTTTATTTATATATTCAGAAACTAGAGAGTGTTAGCTTTCAAATAATGTATGGCACGTGTAATTTGGGCTCACAGTTCTTAATTTATTTGCTTTTTCATTTGGGTTTGCAGAATAGGTGAGGCTTACCCAAGCTGAGGTGGATGTTAAGAGGTCAAACGTTTATCAAAACGGATTGAAACCCTGAGGACTACAGGATTATTTTGGAGGTTTTATTGTTTTTTGGGAGGATACGGTTCTTGGAGATAATTGGAGTCTTTATTTCCAAATAAATGGATGTTTGTGACCCTAGAACTGGCCGGCCAATCACAACGCAGAGATGTGTTTTGAATTTCTGGATGCAAAGTGGGCGGGGTTTTGAGGGCGGGACGACTAAGCTGCACAACAAGGAAGACGGCAGCAACTAGTGAACAGTTCTGGTCTGACTCAGCTTTGGAATCAGTTCTGGAAGGATCAGACTTTGGGTTTCTGTTGAAACGTGAGCAGGAAGAGGCTCTATGATCGTTCATTTTGGAGAAGGACGTATTCGGCGTTTAACCGACAGGCTGTTTGTTTCCACTCCCCCCCCCACCAGCTTCCTGTGGCGCTTCCTACGTCACAGTCAGTGGCGCTCATTGGTGCGTTGGCCAATAGGCACAGACATGGTTGATCTCATCAACAATCTTCCGATGTCTCCTTCATCAGGGCCAGACTAAATGACACATTTAATCTCCCATTTAATCTGGTTTATCAGGCTAATTTCACCCCTTTCTGACTCCATAGAGCTAGAGCAGTGGGTGAGCGGAAGGTCTGCCTCACCCGTCCTTGGAGAGGTGGTGTCTGAAGAAGTCGTTAGCAGCCAATTTGATGGCCTTCTCTGGAGTGACTAGGGTTAGGTTCACCGCAGCTCCTGGAGGATCAAACGGACAGAGAGCCATGAGGGAAGACGGCGATTTCCACCTTTCAAGGGAAAATCTGTCTACTTACCTCTGTACATCCCAAAATAACCCTCAGAGCGAATAGTTTTAATAAGGCAGTCTGACCTGCAGAAAGCCAAACAAAGTGCAGTTAAACGAGTGGAAAGAACAGAAAAAAGCATAAATTCTGCTGGGATTAGTTTTATACAGTACATGCTGGTATAAAGGCGGGATCCATTCTGCTGGTTCTGCAGGCGAGTCTTCGCCAGGTCAATGGGAAACACGCAGGTTACTCCAACGATCCCAGCAATCCCTCCATTGATCAATTTGGCAGGCAAACTGCATGAAAGGAAAAAAAAGTCTCCAGTGAAAAATCTTTTCTTTTTCCTCAAATGATGCTGATTCTTATCCATCTTTACCTGATCTGTTTATCAGCCATTGATCGCAGTGAAACCCGTCGGTCAGCGGATCACCCTGGAGCTGCTGCTTTCTAATGGTTGGTTGTTCTAACGGAGATAACCTGCAGCGCTCCTCGTTTTCCCAGTTAATCAGGCTGCTGGTACTTCAAGCAAGTCTGTGACAGAAAAACAGGAAGCAGTTTACTTCATTATAGCATCACTAGCAAACCAAAGATCAGAATCTCCTTATCAAAGCTCTACTCTGAGCTCCTCCCCCTATCTCTAATCCTGATTAATTATTTTAATAATCATTAGCTAATTTAGTAATCTATTATTCATTAACTGCAGTAAAGAGACTCTAAAACAGGCCTTTAGCTGACAGAACGACACACTTAGATTATATTATATTATTATACCAAGATTGTTAAAAAAACTAAATATGTTAACATTTTACATTTAAGATTTTTTTTTTTATGTTTTCGTCTGTCAATCTGCGCTATCAAGCCTCCTCAAGTGGAAAAGATTTATTTTCTCCTGCTTTCATTTCATTAAATCTTCTTTAAGGAACCTTTGGCTATCAGATTATTAATCGATTTATCAAAAATAATAATCGACAGATTAATCGATTTGCAAAATAATCGTCAGTTGCAGCCCTAGATTCAACCTAAACAGATTTATGTCTTTAAAGGACAACTAATGGTTTGAGGCCCAGAGTGCGAAATGTATAAAAAAAAATCTGGTAAAATCAATAGCAGCAAAAGAGCCAAAAGATTTTAAAAGTATTGTAGCTTGAAAGAAAAGACCATTTTCTCAGAGTGAGAACTTTAACCAGATGTGTGCATCATGTGACCGTCTGAACGCCTTCCCACCGGCAGCACAGCTGCATCATGTGACCGTCTGCAAACGGCTTTCCGCCGGCAGCACAGCTGCATCATGTGACCGTCTGCAAACGGCTTTCCGCCGGCAGCACAGCTGCATCATGTGACCGTCTGCAAACGCCTTCCCGCCGGCAGCACAGCTGCATCATGTGACCGTCTGCAAACGGCTTTCCGCCGGCAGCACAGCTGCATCATGTGACCGTCTGCAAACGCCTTCCCACCGGCAGCACAGCTGCATCATGTGACCGTCTGCAAACGCCTTCCCGCCGGCAGCACAGCTGCATCATGTGTCCGTCTGCAAACGCCTTCCCACCGGCAGCACAGCTGCATCATGTGACCGTCTGCAAACGTCTTCCCGCCGGCAGCACAGCTGCATCATGTGTCCGTCTGCAAACGGCTTTCCGCCGGCAGCACAGCTGCATCATGTGACCGTCTGCAAACGTCTTCCCGCCGGCAGCACAGCTGCATCATGTGACCGTCTGCAAACGCCTTCCCGCCGGCAGCACAGCTGCATCATGTGACCGTCTGAACGCCTTCCCACCGGCAGCACAGCTGCATCATGTGACCGTCTGCAAACGGCTTTCCGCCGGCAGCACAGCTGCATCATGTGACCGTCTGCAAACGCCTTCCCACCGGCAGCACAGCTGCATCATGTGACCGTCTGCAAACGCCTTCCCGCCGGCAGCACAGCTGCATCATGTGTCCGTCTGCAAACGCCTTCCCACCGGCAGCACAGCTGCATCATGTGACCGTCTGCAAACGTCTTCCCGCCGGCAGCACAGCTGCATCATGTGTCCGTCTGCAAACGCCTTCCCACCGGCAGCACAGCTGCATCATGTGACCGTCTGCAAACGCCTTCCCGCCGGCAGCACAGCTGCATCATGTGGCCGTCTGCAAACGGCTTTCCGCCGGCAGCACAGCTGCATCATGTGACCGTCTGCAAACGCCTTCCCGCCGGCAGCACAGCTGCATCATGTGTCCGTCTGCAAACGCCTTCCCACCGGCAGCACAGCTGCATCATGTGACCGTCTGCAAACGCCTTCCCACCGGCAGCACAGCTGCATCATGTGACCGTCTGAACGCCTTCCCACCGGCAGCACAGCTGCATCATGTGACCGTCTGCAAACGGCTTTCCGCCGGCAGCACAGCTGCATCATGTGACCGTCTGCAAACGGCTTTCCGCCGGCAGCACAGCTGCATCATGTGACCGTCTGCAAACGCCTTCCCGCCGGCAGCACAGCTGCATCATGTGACCGTCTGCAAACGGCTTTCCGCCGGCAGCACAGCTGCATCATGTGACCGTCTGCAAACGCCTTCCCACCGGCAGCACAGCTGCATCATGTGACCGTCTGCAAACGCCTTCCCGCCGGCAGCACAGCTGCATCATGTGTCCGTCTGCAAACGCCTTCCCACCGGCAGCACAGCTGCATCATGTGACCGTCTGCAAACGTCTTCCCGCCGGCAGCACAGCTGCATCATGTGTCCGTCTGCAAACGCCTTCCCACCGGCAGCACAGCTGCATCATGTGACCGTCTGCAAACGCCTTCCCGCCGGCAGCACAGCTGCATCATGTGGCCGTCTGCAAACGGCTTTCCGCCGGCAGCACAGCTGCATCATGTGACCGTCTGCAAACGCCTTCCCGCCGGCAGCACAGCTGCATCATGTGTCCGTCTGCAAACGCCTTCCCACCGGCAGCACAGCTGCATCATGTGACCGTCTGCAAACGCCTTCCCACCGGCAGCACAGCTGCATCATGTGACCGTCTGCAAACGCCTTCCCGCCGGCAGCACAGCTGCATCATGTGACCGTCTGCAAACGCCTTCCCGCCGGCAGCACAGCTGCATCATGTGACCGTCTGCAAACGTCTTCCCGCCGGCAGCACAGCTGCATCATGTGACCGTCTGCAAACGCCTTCCCGCCGGCAGCACAGCTGCATCACTGACCGTCTGCAAACGCCTTCCCGCCGGCAGCACAGCACAGCTGCATCATGTGACCGTCTGCAAACGCCTTCCCGCCGGCAGCACAGCTGCATCATGTGACCGTCTGCAAACGTCTTCCCGCCGGCAGCACAGCTGCATCATGTGACCGTCTGCAAACGTCTTCCCGCCGGCAGCACAGCTGCATCATGTGACCGTCTGCAAACGCCTTCCCGCCGGCAGCACAGCTGCATCATGTGACCGTCTGCAAACGCCTTCCCGCCGGCAGCACAGCTGCATCATGTGACCGTCTGCAAACGCCTTCCCGCCGGCAGCACAGCTGCATCATGTGACCGTCTGCAAACGCCTTCCCGCCGGCAGCACAGCTGCATCATGTGACCGTCTGCAAACGCCTTCCCACCGGCAGCACAGCTGCATCATGTGACCGTCTGCAAACGCCTTCCCACCGGCAGCACAGCTGCATCATGTGACCGTCTGCAAACGCCTTCCCGCCGGCAGCACAGCTGCATCATGTGACCGTCTGCAAACGCCTTCCCGCCGGCAGCACAGCTGCATCATGTGACCGTCTGCAAACGTCTTCCCGCCGGCAGCACAGCTGCATCATGTGACCGTCTGCAAACGCCTTCCCGCCGGCAGCACAGCTGCATCACTGACCGTCTGCAAACGCCTTCCCGCCGGTAGCACAGCACAGCTGCATCATGTGACCGTCTGCAAACGCCTTCCCACCGGCAGCACAGCTGCATCATGTGACCGTCTGCAAACGTCTTCCCGCCGGCAGCACAGCTGCATCATGTGACCGTCTGCAAATGTCTTCCCGCCGGCAGCACAGCTGCATCATGTGACCGTCTGCAAACACCTTCCCGCCGGCAGCACAGCTGCATCATGTGACCGTCTGCAAACGCCTTCCCGCCGGCAGCACAGCTGCATCATGTGACCGTCTGCAAACGCCTTCCCGCCGGCAGCACAGCTGCATCATGTGACCGTCTGCAAACGCCTTCCCGCCGGCAGCACAGCTGCATCATGTGACCGTCTGCAAACGCCTTCCCACCGGCAGCACAGCTGCATCATGTGACCGTCTGCAAACGCCTTCCCAGCGGCAGCACAGCTGCATCATGTGACCGTCTGCAAACGCCTTCCCACCGGCAGCACAGCTGCATCATGTGACCGTCTGCAAACGCCTTCCCACCGGCAGCACAGCTGCATCACTGACCGTCTGCAAACGCCTTCCCGCCGGCAGCACAGCTGCATCATGTGGCCGTCTGCAAACGGCTTTCCGCCGGCAGCACAGCTGCATCATGTGACCGTCTGCAAACGCCTTCCCACCGGCAGCACAGCTGCATCATGTGTCCGTCTGCAAACGCCTTCCCACCGGCAGCACAGCTGCATCATGTGACCGTCTGCAAACGCCTTCCCACCGGCAGCACAGCTGCATCATGTGACCGTCTGCAAACGCCTTCCCGCCGGCAGCACAGCTGCATCATGTGACCGTCTGCAAACGCCTTCCCGCCGGCAGCACAGCTGCATCATGTGACCGTCTGCAAACGTCTTCCCGCCGGCAGCACAGCTGCATCATGTGACCGTCTGCAAACGCCTTCCCGCCGGCAGCACAGCTGCATCACTGACCGTCTGCAAACGCCTTCCCGCCGGCAGCACAGCACAGCTGCATCATGTGACCGTCTGCAAACGCCTTCCCACCGGCAGCACAGCTGCATCATGTGACCGTCTGCAAACGTCTTCCCGCCGGCAGCACAGCTGCATCATGTGACCGTCTGCAAACGTCTTCCCGCCGGCAGCACAGCTGCATCATGTGACCGTCTGCAAACGCCTTCCCGCCGGCAGCACAGCTGCATCATGTGACCGTCTGCAAACGCCTTCCCGCCGGCAGCACAGCTGCATCATGTGACCGTCTGCAAACGCCTTCCCGCCGGCAGCACAGCTGCATCATGTGACCGTCTGCAAACGCCTTCCCGCCGGCAGCACAGCTGCATCATGTGACCGTCTGCAAACGCCTTCCCACCGGCAGCACAGCTGCATCATGTGACCGTCTGCAAACGCCTTCCCACCGGCAGCACAGCTGCATCATGTGACCGTCTGCAAACGCCTTCCCGCCGGCAGCACAGCTGCATCATGTGACCGTCTGCAAACGCCTTCCCGCCGGCAGCACAGCTGCATCATGTGACCGTCTGCAAACGTCTTCCCGCCGGCAGCACAGCTGCATCATGTGACCGTCTGCAAACGCCTTCCCGCCGGCAGCACAGCTGCATCACTGACCGTCTGCAAACGCCTTCCCGCCGGCAGCACAGCACAGCTGCATCATGTGACCGTCTGCAAACGTCTTCCCGCCGGCAGCACAGCTGCATC